CCCCATCCCATCATCCCATCCATCTCTTACACCATCCCCATCCCATCATCCCATCCATCTCTTACTCCATCCCCATCTCATCATCCCATCCATCTCTTACTCCATCCCCATCCCATCCATCTTTTACTCCATCTCCATCCTATCATCCCATCCATCTCCTACTTTTCGCCCTAACCCAGTTGTCCCAATCTGTCTCCCACTCCATCACTTATGTGTGTACACACTTATATAGTACAGGTGTGTATGTAGTACAGGACAATACTTGTGCATGTACATGTATGTAACACAATAAGAACTTCAACATTTGGGGGTTCAATATCTTCATTTAATATGTACATGTAAACAACAATTAACCCTCCTTCTGTTTTAACCATTAAAAACAGTCAAAAATGCCTTCCAATTGATTTTCCCAAGTACACAGACACGTGGTGGAGTGGAGTACAGCTGCCACCATGGATTTCAATTTTTTTTTCGGGTCTGTTTTCCTAAGTTGAGAGAACTGTTCCTATGGATCAGCAAATAAGGGAAACCATTTGTATAATCAAGGTTCAAGGAATAATTGGTTGATTTTTATCCTTTTGCTAACGGGGGTTTTTCGGGAATATTCCAAAAAGATTGCACTTTGTGCTATCAGTAAATATTGCAAGAATTCTCCAATTTTGCTTCCCCTTTGGAAAGAGTCTTCCATGAATGTTAAGTAAAATCAAAGGGCAATTAGCTGATGTCAGAATTGTTGCCAAATAATATTGAGCAACAATATTGAGCAACAACATCGACCGACCGTGCCCGCCAACACAATGGTTGCGTATGGTAAAGGACGCCCTCAACGATGGAACCAAGTTAGTTTGTTTAAGAATTTTCTATTGATTTGTGTTGAGTTTGTTAAAAAAAAACCCGGGCGGACGAAAGGGTCAAAATTAATTTTACAAAAAATAAAGTATTATACGTCAGAACCAAATTTGTTTCAGAATTTGTCAAATGATTTGCGTTTAGCTTCGTTGTGAAAAAATGAAGTAAACTGCTGGCGACCTTTGGTTTTGACTTTTTTTTCCTTTTTTTTTTCAATTATTTCATATTTTGATTTACTGCTTTCATTTTGGGAACTTTTGGGGGGCATGTTGTTTTCAGACATTTGTTATTTATTTTTCAAATTAATTCTGTTGTAAATTTTTTAGAGTTTGTTTTGTGTTTTACCATTTACATTTTGATAAGAAAATGTTGTTCACCCATGATTATTCATTTTTGGTGAAATTATTTTTTATGACATGTAACTTTTATTTTTGTAATTAAAATTTTTAAAAATTTGTTTCTCAAATGATTTTGGTGCTTGTTTTGTGTTTTATTATTTAGATTTTTGAATAAGAAAATTCTGTTTGCTCGTAATTGTTTATTTTTGTTAAAATTAATTTTTGGCCCATAATAATCAGCATAATGAAAGTGGGTTTCTTGTTCATGTAACGACATGTATTTCATTTACCCCAATCCTGTGTTATACTTTTTAGGATCAGGCTTCAGAAACCTAAGGCCATAGCTGTGTATTGAGGTGCCACGCCCATGAGTGTTGGGTGAGTTATGGACTCATTTTGTGTCGTACCCATGACTTTTTTGGCCCACACGAGAACACATGGATGGATCTACTTACCGGAGGACACTCATGCCCTCCATCCGGAAGTGACCACACAGTCCCTTCAACAAGGGACGGTGCCACCTAGCACTGTCTGAGACCTTACAAGGGGCATCGTAGACAGGACGTGGGATCCATATTAGTTGCCGATGGAAACCCCAACACTATTAATCTGCCTTTGCAGTGGATAATACGTTTGTATATTGTATGTGTGTACTTATGGAACGTTTTACCAACTTTCCTTTCATAGCATCCATGTATTAAGGAAGTTTTTATACGTAGCATTTTATGCATACGCATTTTATATTTATATGTACACATTTGCATGTAACATTTTATATGTACATGTATATGTGCCTTCTTACTACACTAGTTCTTGCCTGGCCTTTTCTCTGTATTCCCAGGTGTTATTTGCTTGTCAAGAAAGACTGGCTCTGGTTTTTTATTGGGTAAGCATATTACTGTATGTTGGTTGCTGTGCCTACTGTTCAGAAAGAATGGCAACTTCTGAAAGCCTTGTGGATGGGATTATACAGTCAAACCAAGCCCTGGCCAAGACACTCTTTACTGCATTCCAAAATCTGAAATATCAAAGGGCCTCCACAATTAGTTGTCTAAATTCTGTGGATGCCCACAGAAATCAGGTGACCTGACACTTTAAGAACGGGTGAATGATTTTAACTCATACTGTAGACATTTTGGCTTGTCAGAGGATGAGAAAGTCAACGTAGCAAATGATCACCTTGGGGGGTCAGCCAAGGAAGAAATCTTTTGCCGTCCAAAGGAACAGAAAGACAGCACTGGCAAACTATTAACTATTTTGAGGCGCAGATTTGGGCCTCCCGAGACAGTCCAGTCTTTGAATTGTGCTTTTTGTTTCTAAGATCAGTTGGAAGATGAGAAATTGGCCCACTACAGCCATGCACTGATCAGATTTTATGACTGCATGGAAGCTGCATCGATTGACTCTGATGAAAAGGCAGCACTAGCTCAAGTGAAACAAGGCGCACTTTAATACTGAGCAATTCATTCACGGAGCAAGAGATTCAGCAATTAAATGAGAACTGCACAGACCAAGCCATGATAACCCGGAACTGTCGTTTTCGAGTTTCGCGAACTTGCTCTAAAAATAATGCACGATGCAGACAGTAACTCAAATGATCAACAACATGACTCTCACTATCCTTCTGACATGGCAAATTCTAGTGTGGCACTTGATGCAGTGAGTTCTGGTGCACAGGCTGTCAGTAAAGAACAAAAATTGCTACTTAGTTTGGCAGATGGTCAGAAACAGCTCACTGCTGCTATGGAGCACCTAGTGAAACAAAGGCTGACTGACGCCTTGGAAAAACTAAAACCTGGTGTGTCCTCTAACCCTGGCAATCAAAGGTCAGAAAGGCGAGCATGTAGTCACAAGTGCAGTTATTGTGGAAAAACAGGCCACACTTTGGAAGCCTGCTTTAAGAGGAAAGCTGCAGAGAAGGCACAAAACAGTACCAGTTCAGACGCAAAACCCACTAATATTCAGACACAGGAGAGTACTGGTACATCAAAGGTCTCGGTAAACGTGACGCCCCAGTTGCAGGGGGCGCTGCTCTGGGGGAACCACACAAGCCCACCACCCAACCCAGTGAGCTTGATAGAGTAATGACAAAGTTTGATAAACAAAGACATCTTTCCAAGAGTCATACAGCAAAAGTTGTCTCAGCTGGAGTACCTGTGAATTGTGTGCTAGACACAGGGGTTGAGACATCATATCTTGGAATTTCTATCACCAGCATTTGGCAAAACAAGTGGGGGCACTTGGAGAGGTGGGCAAATTTTTCAAGTTACTCGGAGCAAATAGTCTTGAGATCCCTGTCAAGGGTTTTCTTGAGACTACACTTGAGATTTGGGGCCAGAGCTTTAATGTTAGCTTCCTTGTGAAGTATGAGCACCCCTACTTTGCCTGGTGACAGGTGTGACAAGTCACCTGTCATTTTTGGGTGTAATACCCTTAGAATTGTTTCACAGGATGAAAATTGTATGGAGCGATGGAAGAACCACCCTGAGTGGAGTCTGACCTTGCACTGATTTAGATCCATTGAGTCACCCAACACTGGGGATGGGGATTGTAATGACCAGGCC